GAGGTCAAGCCTCGGGGGGCCAGCGAAAAATCATTGGAACAGTTGTTTGTGACGACGTCTTGAAGAACGAAGGGGGGACAGGCATGGCGGCCGTCCGCCACAATAGCTCACTTACGACGACATTCCTTACTCACTCTCCTTCAGCGCACATCCTGTTGCAAGAGCAAAACAAATTCAAGATGACTGCAGGTGCGCCTGAGTCCAATGAATGACAAAGCCAAACAGTTCGTCTACGCGTGCAACACAAGACTTGCTCCCTAAAGGATATATTAAGTTTTCACAGGCAGGGGCTTCCGATATCATGTTTTTTTGCGTGCCGTGAGAGTCACATTAAGAAGGGGCCGTTAAGTGTGACTCGGAGTCCTCAATTTAGTTGCCCCACATGCACACATGTCCGACGTACAAGTTATCGAGTCCGTCTCCGAAGTCACAACTTTTAGCGTCGCTTATGTTACATTATGGTTCATGGCGATTGCCGGTAGGATATACTCATGGGAACTAACTAACGAGAAACCAAAACGAGCCGTCCACCAATGATTCTCCAGTTGCTTGGTGCATTTGCAGTTGGTTTGGCTAATCAGTGGCCCTTGTTTCCGTTAGTTGATTTTTGTTGACTCGGAATGCCTGGTTCCCCACGGACTCTTTCGAATGGTTTAGCTGGTCAGTATAACATTACCTGCCCATATTGCTAGCGGTTGTTGTCGGGGCTCCAGATTGGATCCCAATGTCCAACAGGAGGACGAGTATACCCGTAAGGCGATCCTTGCGCGCGCCCCTACCATAATTCATTATAGTCAGCCGGGAGTGCGAGAGAACAGTCTGCGAGTAATCAGGTCAGTGCTTTCAAGCCCTCCTGAGATTAAAATTTTTTTCCATTTGGACCTTTGTCTACTTCCCGTGGTCTGCAAAAGTGCCTGGTGACTCTTGTATGCGTGTTTGCTTTGACTTGTTATCATCAGTGTGTTTCATTTTTGTCTCAAACGATAACCACTCTGAGCCCTTCGAAGACTTTCGATCCTTAC